AATCAAAATAAATGCTTACTGCACAACCTGTTATGGGGAGTTCCTTGGCATATATTTGGAATGTCTAATCACAAAACAATGAGTCATATACCTCACCCCAAATGACTGAAAAATCCTATGCATTTGTTTAATGCTCCATACTCTGAGTAATATGGAAAATTCTCACTGAAGTACTTCCAGCTTCCTAGATTTCCCTTATGCAATCCAGTGTTAGTCACACAGTGTGGGAGCAGAGTCACATCCCCTTCTCAATCCAGCTGCTGGCAGGACTCAGCCTTTAGGAATAAAGCTGGGCTTGTGAGATATTTGGGCTGTACTTCTTCATCTGTATTATCATACATTCTTTTCAAGATGGCACACTGATTCCTCATCTCCTCAAATAAGGATTTGCAAAGGACAAGATTCACTCTCTTTCTTGAGCAGGGCTTGCAGCCACAGCATAGCAGACTGTGAAGTGGCAGCAGGGCCATGGGCCAGGGGTAAGGATGGTCCCTCCCACCCAAGAGACTCCAAGTTATCCATGGCTGGGAGGTGTGTGGGTATCTGCCCAATCCACTGCACAGACATGCCTACAGGACACCGAGCTGCTGCAGAGCCTGCCTTCCTGTGCTTTTGCTTGAAAAGCAGGACTTGAAAAGCATAGCTGGGCAATTCTGAGGGAGAAAAGGAATTGAGGAAGAAAATGAGAAGAGGAATTGTGAGCAAAGAGATTCTCTCATCTGCTGTCCAGTGGATTTTGTAATGAGAAAAACAGGCTTTTGTCCGTTTCTTGTTAGTAAACAAATCTGTGACAAAGACTTGTATGTTCCATCAGTAATGAAATATTTTGTCTTTTCAATGAAAGAAATCTTTAGAGCCTTAAATTCATATAAAAAGGAAATTACCACACATATCTGCTTTTTGGAACTGCCACATATAAGGTTTTATTTTTATGATTTGTATAATACCACTTTGGAAAGTATTGGCTATATGCCAAGGGAAAGCTTATTTAAATTTTATGTTTTTCATTTCTACTTTGATTTGACCAAGATACAGTTTTATTAGAATCTTATCTACTGCAGCTGGGGCTGAAAATTCTGATGGACAAAACATAGCTGAAGTCAGCTGATTTTTTTATGGACTGTTAATAGTGTGCTTGGGCACCCAAATTCTGTCAAGTAATTTTGTCCTTTTCAATTGAACTGAAATCAGTTCAATTGAAAACCTCACTAATCAGTTTTGTAGTGTACAGACTCCTGACTTCCTTTCCTATTAAAAAAAAAAAAAAAAAAAAAAAAAAAAAAAAAAAAAAAAAAAAAAAAAAAAGGATCATGATTATATGAAATTAGACTAAAAATGCATTAATTCCTACTTCTAATGAATGAGAATGTCTTAAGCTGCCATGGTAGACTTCTATCAAAAATTGCAGAGGCATTATTAAGCACTTACAAAATGAACAAGATACTTCCAAACTGAACCTCAGTACAAGATACTTGGGGTCCTTAAAAAATGTCAGGAAAATTAAATTCAGGTGATGGCAAAGATACTTTTAAAATACAGAAATAGGTATTATTTTTATGTATGAAAGATAAATCTAAAAAACCAAATGCCTCACCACACCTAAATTTATTACTTTAGCTGAGCCCTGGGTTTCAGGACTGATTTAATTTTATGAAAACTGTTGCATCCTCTATTCATCAGACAATGTATTTAAACATTAGGTCCAGTGTTCCTGTTTTTCTTGCTGTGCCAGAACTGCTAAAATTCTTTTAAGCCAGTGATCTTTGAAACAGAAGTTTTGGACCTACATACTGCTCAAAGTGTAGGAAAGCTGGACTGCTTACTCAGTTTCTCTAACACTGATGAGACAGGCCTCCTTCAAGACCATCTGACTGAAATGCAAGGTGAGGATTTGCTGCTTAAAGCACAACATACAATTACATTTTAAAAAAATTGTCGCTTTGGGGATACATTTTGAAAAGTTGCTACTGCACATAGGTAGCAACAATTCCCATAGTCATCCACAACTACAGCAGACTTTGATTGTTGCAGAAGTTGGACCTCTTTATAAATTTTTCATAATTCCATTGAAATTTAAACAAAAACTCTTGCACCAGAGGCTACAGAATTGTAACTAAATGAACAGACACTACTGTCTTTGCCACATTAGTTAAACTGCAGTGGATCCCATTAACTCACATGCTCAAAAGATTCTGTTGCACCTACAAGAGTCACAGTCTTGCACTAGAAGAAATGTCGGTGCCAGTTGGAGCAGACAAGACTCAAAACCTCCTGGACTCCAGCAGACTGTCTCTGCTGATCTGGCAAACACTGAGCAGCACTTAGGGCAAGAACTCAAACAGTGCTTGTTTCATCATATGAGGATGAAGCAGGAGAATCTTATCAACATCCCTTCAGCTGTCTGTATTATGGGCCTACAGCAGACAGGATGATGCAGAAGCCTGGGGAGTATCACAGTTCATGGATTACCCCTTGACATCTGCTTTGTACACAATTCTCTGAAAAATACGTGCATCAATGGAACAAAAGGCCAATGGTAGGCTAAAGTTTCTTTTTTCCCCCTTTTGAAGCTCCTCATGGCATAGCAGAGGTTGGGATCTGCTGCCCTCCAGTGCATGCTTGCAGATGTCCTGTCTGCCAGAAGACTGCATACTGCATTTGGAGACCACGAGAATTCTCAAGAAG